GGGGTGTTGAGTCCCCTTCTCTTTCCCCCAGCCCTGTGTATCTCGGCACTCTCTTTGCACAAGCACATAGACTGTTTCTCTCTTTCCTCTGGTTCTTCAAGAAACACTTCCTAAATTTAGGTTTTTATGCATTTGTTTGCTGCTTTTAAAAAAAAAATCTGAAATGTGAATTATTTTCTTAAGCATCAGATGGAAAAGAGAATTTCATCTTTGAGTATTTTGTGAATATTTTGGGGGCCACTTATGTGACAATTTCATAACTGAGCAAGATGAGAGCAGGGGGGAAAGGGCAGCATTTCTGACCCCCCCAGCAGTTGTTACTGCCTGCCCCAGGCAGGAAGGATGAACCGTAAGCACAGCACTGTGTTTAAGGCTTGAGAGTCTGGTCAGCTTCTGTATGGTATAAAAAGAGTCTTGTTGAAATAAACCTGGTGCTAAGATGTGCAGGCCCTGTAACGTACTGCCACGCTTCCTTCTGAAGCAGGAACTCCCTTGTACAGGACACGCAGTAACACATCAGAACTAAGGGGGCTTTTCTGGCCGAAATGAAGTTTTGGTCCCCAAGGCTTCTTGCTGAACAGCCACGAAGTGTCTGGGTCCTGCCTCTTCACACAGACTCCTTATGGGATAATGACATTTTCCTCCCCAAACGTTTGGGAGCTTTGGAAGTGTGACCTCGGTGACTGACTGTGCAGGTCGGACACTCCTGAGCTGAGAGCCAGGGCAAGGGAGGCTTAATTGTGTTGTGAAACCACAGTATCTTGAAGGCCAGCAAGCTTCTACATTGTTAAGGGAAAAACGATGTAGAAGCAGATGGCTGAAGACAATGCTATCCTGGGTAGTTTGATACCAAAAAGCAAGGCTAGACCTGTAGGTGAGAGCCAGGAGCTGAAGAATTTTAGCATTGCTTTAGGCTAACAGGACCAGTTTTAGATCATCTCTGGCCTTAGATCAGGTGGCCGTGTGCCAGCTGTGGTGCGGGAGGGACCGGGGGAAGGTCTCTGAGCTGGAGCGTATTTTCCTTCAGCAGCTGCCCCCCGAAGGGGAGTCCCTGCCGCCAATCCCCTGCCGAAGGGTTTTATACTTTCCGTACATCGCTGAAGCTGAACCTGAGCCACTTGCAAGGCTTGTGCAGCTGAGACAATGAAGAGAATTCCTTACCCTGTGAGGAAGCCCGTAACGCTGAACGGACTCAGTAATTCATTGCTGTTCCACCAGCCTCTGAGCCTCCTCTCTTTCTCCTTTTCCCCCATCTGAGAAGGAAGAATATTACCAGTGTTTTCCTCCAGAATTATAATAATCCTTGGAGTGATGGCCAACAGCAAAATAGATGTTACTGATGTAAAACCTAGTATTTTAAAGGTGAAGTATTCCTGCAAACTAGTGACTGCATCGGAGAGATTTCTGGGGCTTCCCCACTCCGTAGCTTCCAATGTTAAAACAAAGTAAATACAGTATACGTTTAAATAATAATAATAATAATACACACTGCAGTATTTCTGGTGGCATGTCTCGACCAGTCTCTTCCCCACTTTCCCCAGGAGGAAGGGCACTGGGCAGAGGTGCCCCTAGTCCGTGTAGAAGTTGGCAGAATGGTGATCGGTGGTGTGTAAAACGTGTTGTTGATTCCATGTATAGAACTGTGATTTCAGCTGTCGTTCTCTCGTACTCTGTAAATATGTGTTTTGGCTGTTGGAAACCTGGTTTAGACTCTTTTCTTGGCAGAGTGGATTTGCATGAGGGGCTGGAAAGAACTCAATCTGTGTCACAGTTTCCAAGGGCAGGATGGATTTTTTTTTTTTTTAGAGGACAATAAATTTTTATTTTTTTGCTAAGAAAAAAAAAAAAATCCAATAAAGCAGTGTGTGTGTGCGTGCGTGCCCGGGGTGTATGTGCAGCCCTGCGCCCTGCTCTGGGGCCTGGGGAGGTGGGAGAAGCCTGTGCCTGGAGCCCTTGAAACAGCAAATCGAATTCAGCTCCGTGGCCAGTTTCACCTTTTCCCGTTTCTTCCTGAGCTCCCTTCTGTCTCAGACGCCTTTTACAGGCCCCTTGCCCTTCACCTTCATGGCCGAGGTGCGAGGGAAGGGGGGGAGAGGTCATGCGGTGTGGTTAGCTGGGGCTGAGCCTCCTTTGGGAAGGGTAAAACCACAGAGCAAAGAGCCTTTTGTCACCCCGATTCGGGGTCTGGGCAGGAGTTTGTCTCCAAGCGTCTCCCGCGAGAGCCGGGCTGGCAGAGGGTGAGCTCTGCCTGCCCCTGCGTGCCGGCGCGGCTGCGGGCGATACGAGCTTTTACATCGTTGCGTATGGAGTTTCACACGTTGGCGCCCAAAAGAACATGCCTGACATATGGATCTGAGAACTACATTTTGGTTTTGGTGTAATTAATGCTCCAGAGATGCATCAACCACTTAGCGTTAGTCCAGTCGCAACGATACTCCGCGTCGCCCAGTTTGCGTTGCAGGTGACCAGTAAAGGCAGCAAAATCGCTGGGCGTGAGTGCCTGCCCCCTTCCCTCTTGTGTCGCAGCGAGCTGCCTGTGTCGGGCTGCTTCACCAGGAGGAGGATGATGATGATCTTGCATTTGCTAGGAGCTGGTTTGCGTGCTTCAAGCCATATTTTTCAATGCCTAGACTATTCTCCTCCTGGTCTGTTATGCCCTGATCACTAAAGGTTGATTAGTCCTTCTCTGTCAGGAATATGATTTCTTCTGAGGTGGGAAAAGAACTACACAACTGCCTGGAGCTGAGCAAAAATTAAGCTAAAACACCTTGGATAATGTAGTGCAAACGACCACAAACCAGTGGTTAGCCCATGCCGCTTCAATGCCTAGACTATTCTCCTCCTGGTCTGTTATGCCCTGATCACTAAAGGTTGATTAGTCCTTCTCTGTCAGGAATATGATTTCTTCTGAGGTGGGAAAAGAACTACACAACTGCCTGGAGCTGAGCAAAAATTAAGCTAAAACACCTTGGATAATGTAGTGCAAACGACCACAAACCAGTGGTTAGCCCATGCCGCTTGCTCGCTGGGACGTGCCGTCCGTTGCGGTGGGGACAGCCCGGGCCATGGTCAGCCCAGAGCGAGTTAGAGCACGACGATTTTTAAACATACAGCTAAAAATAAGCTAAACCACGTTCAAACCTGCAGCCCCCCACGGCTGAGCCGTGCAGTGAGGGGTGAGGCAG